GGCAGAGGATGCACTTCCAAAGCTGGCTGAAGGCAGCCCCGCCCCTGCACTCCCATGTGACCACGGCGCATGCGGGCCGTCGTGCCTCATGCTCTGTAAACAGGCAGGGCTTCACATGGGCCTCCGTCCTCGACTGCCGATTGAAATTTTTTACAACGTGATCGAAAATGCCCGGACTCTTCCTCCTGTGCAGGGAGACAGACAGACGCACGGCCGCGGGGACACCGGTGAGCGACCGCCACAACACCGCCATCGCGTGCCAGCGGCGACACGGAAACGTGGTGCCTCAGAGAGCCGTCACTGAAGAGGCCTAGTGTTTAAGCACTGAAATGCTACTTCAGCTCTCCTTAGAAAGTCACCTTTCATAAATGCAAAGGTTAGATAATCTCCTAAGGACGTCTGTGATGTTACCTGCATACAAAGCTCATGTAGAAAACCAGCAGAAATTCCACTGGTGGTCTTGAATGACAGTGAGGTCTTTTTACCGAAATTAAAAGGTCATTAAAAAACCGATGCAGACATGCTGCTTTGATATTAGCAATCGGTGCATTTTTAATCATGGGAGAGGAAAGCGATGTCCTCAGATGTAACTGCCGGCTTACCAACCTTATCATATTTAGTGAGGATGTCAGCCCGTTCTTCTGCTATTAACTGCTCGATGTCTTTCTTCATGTCAAAATCTGAAAAAAAGGCCAAAATAACAATAAGCTCTTGTCAGTCTGCATTACAAGAGGCGTGTTGACTTCTGTGCCCTCCTCATTCACCCAGTATGACTAGAGAACTGCACAGAAGCAGGTACATCAGATTCTGCTGGCAGTGAGACCACAAGAGAGTGCGTCTATAACACGTCCTCGATATATCCTCAGAGTGCAAACCCAACCACACACACACACACACTCACACATACACTCACACATACACAAACACACACACACACACACGAACACACATACATAAGAAACCAAACAAAACCCAATTTTTAGCTTTTTTGATTGCAGTCACAGATTTCCATAAAATTAAATTTCCCCTTGTAAACAACAGGTTTTTATTACATTGTGGGAACACTTGGTCCCCACAATGTAATGTATACCTGGACCACACACACACACACACACACACACACACACATGCATGCACGCATAAACCAAATGGTGCAGCACTTGCTGCAGAACAGTGATTCAGGTCCCAAACAGCAGTTTGTTGGTTCAAGGTGCATAACTGTAGCTATTTCTGTAAACCTATGAATACATAGTACATAGTAATATAAAGATTTTAATAAGTAATCAATCTGACAAGGGAAGTGGCTCGACCAACAGTTACAAAATAAAGACAAAGGGTCACTTGAGTGATGGAACGGTTGTGTTTGCAGGGAGCGATCACCACGCTTTCACTATTACACTATCACACAAACATTCTCCGCTGTCTCGGTTTCATGCAGAAGGGGCTTCTTCTGGTTTCAAGGTGAAACATCTTTGCCCGACCTGAAAAGTCACACCTTGGGCTCGCCGGCCGAGCGCATCAAACGCAGCATCTGCAGAGAGCCACTGCCAGCACAGCAGGAGGAGGGGCCTAAAGGGGAACCAATCAGAAAACCTTTTCAAGACAGACAGGTGTCTGGCCCAACTATGTGGTGCTGGGGGCAGACGCCATCTAGGCCATCAGTGAGAAGTCACTTGTGACCTCTTCATTGGGGAATGTCTCTACAAAAAAAAAAAAAAAAACTTCATTTACTTGGCTGCAAGTCTCACCCAAAGTATAAAAATACTCAAAGGCAGACCAAGGAATCTGACACCAGCAGTCAGCATGGACCTGGGAGAGCTGGCAAAAGCCCCGCCCCGTCCATCTGGCCCAACGGGCTGAGGGCTGCGCACCGTTTCAAGGGTCCATCTGTCTAGTTGCATTCCTTCTCCTGACTGTCCATGGTCACAAGATGTGGGCTGACAGTCTTGTAGCAACAAGTCCAGGCCTTGTTCAGGTTACCCGTAGCACATTAAAATGACAAAACTAACCAAAGAAAGGTGTATAGAGAGGTGGATAGTTCAGGTCCAGAAGGTAAAAAAAAAAATGTTTCAACCAAGCAGTGGGGTTCTCAGTGATTGTGATTCTTTATACTCAAATGGTTTTTTGAAACAAAATCTTGGTCTGGATTTTTACTTTCCTAAGCGGAGGAGAAACCCTATCTCCTGGCAACGTCTTCTCGACCCTTTCTGGTCCTCCAAGGGCACCTGCTGAGCCCACCAAAATAGACCACAGGTCCCACCAGCAGTGAACCCCCCCTCCCCCATTGTCTGTGTGGAAGGTCCCACCCCATTTTACAAATCTAAAAAGAAACCTCAAAGCTCACATTTTTCACTGGGTTGAAGTCACAGCCAATCACAGCAATCTCCAAAACATTTATGTATGGCCCAGACTTCACAAGGGGACACTGCAGGCTCGTAAACCAGTACGTGCCCTCCCCACTCTAGGGACGCTTGTTTCTCTCCAAGCGGCCACGGGGGGGGCAAAGGAGGGGCTTGAACGTAAGGCCCATCGCACACTGCTCTCCATTCAGAGCTCCGTCAGGTGCCGGCTCCCTCCAACAACAGCCCAGTGTTCCCAAGCCTGGTGCCTGACGGAGAGTCGTGATCCCCACTCCCCAGCCCAACGGGAATCTTTCATGGAAGACCTCGCACTTACCCGGGAGCTCGTGAGAAACAGGCAATTTGTTTCCCTGTCTCATCTCACAGCCTTTCCTCATCTCCTTGGCCGGCAGTTTACTGGGATTTCCCCCCGTGACACATCCTCCCATCCTAGAGCCACCAGTTTTTCCATTAGATGTCGGGGCACTCCGGGGTCAGCTGTGGGTGGGGTGGGCACTGGGGTGGAGCAAACCTTCTATGCCTGAACTCTGTCCTTTCCTCCAAAGAGGGATAATTGTTGGGGTGGGCCGTCAGCCAATCAGGAGAAAGCACATTAAGGCAGAAGAAAGACGGTCAAGTGAAACGACACACCCTCCTTCCCCGAAGGAACGCAATTTGCTGGGCAAACATCATCTTCTCTGTCAGCGCACAAAAGGACACAAAACAGAAAACAGAAATAAGGGGAACAACCAGCAGGGCAGTTTAAACTAAACTTTTACCGAACGTTTTGGCGCCCGGCCGTTGTTACTGAAAAGGCCATTTAATTGTGACAATCAGCGAGCTTCCTGTGCTGCGCCACCGTTTGTTCCAAATATGAGAGCCCCGGCACTCGTTTAATAAAAGCTTTCTGTATGCAGTCGCTGAAGCACAACACAACAGAGGCTGGACGCTTCCTGATGTAAAAATGGCAGCCGGCAAACGCTGCTCACTAAAATAATAAACTTAATGAATTCGTCAAAAGTGCGTCAAAGGGCATGACTTGTAAGTGGCAATAACAACCTTGTTAAGTAGGTGTCAGCCTGGGGGGCTTTTATGACCCCCCCCAGCTACCCCACACCCAATGACTAAATGAAAACTATGTTCCCATCCAAGCATAACCCCCCCCGTCACCCATATCCTATTTATAATTGTTCCTCTTGAAAGTGGGTAACAATCGAGATTAACTGAAAGGCCAGACGAGGTAGTGCACACATTCACTTCGCTTAATGTTTATTGTGACTAACCAATGGCCAAGCCCTCTTCTTTGTCTGCCTGTCCTCAATAGCTGGCAGCGGCCACTTGACACCAAGCCCAAAATCTTATCAGCGTGGGTTTTGTTTTATTTCATAGGGCTGAATACATTTCTCTGGTAACCACGTTTCCCAGAAGTCTCTCTGGCAGCTGCAGGTGCCTTTGCAAGAGACAAAGAGTAAGACAGAGAGTGGCTATGAATCAGGCCCAGGTCGCCGATGCCACACCTCCACACGGCCTGCTGACATCACGCCCTCACCAAGTCCCCCATGTCTGCTAAAGGATAACATCTCGGAGGAGCCCCCACCCCCAGAAGCGAAAAGAGACACACTTACCCACTCTGTCTAAGCGGGCCTGGGCTAGTCGACCAAACGCTCTTAGTTCTGTGTCCCATAGGCAGCCAAACGGCCTTAGACCATACTGACGGTGCCCTTCGAGAAGCCTGGGCTGTTTACTTCCTCTCTTTCCCTATCTGTTGGCTGTGTCTTCCCACACATCCCGAGAACATCTAAATATACCCCGTTATGGCAATCAGCTATTGGCCAGAAATCGGAGCAAGGCACGAATGCCCCTACGACTTACCCTGTGTGCCCAGCGTCAATGAGACTACAGCACACACCATCCTCACCCCAACCCTGGCTCCCAAAGACGTACACCACACATGCTGCCGATGTCACGGTCAATTAGATTAGGAGCCAATGAAAACGGTCCTTTAAATATCAGCAAAGACCCTCCGCTCCGCCTCTCCCATCTCAGCCACATGTGGATGTCTCACACAGGTGTGCTATTTCCATATCTTCATAAAGCGAGGCCCCTCCGAGAGTCTTCTCGTTAATCCATGCTAAAAATAACCCACATGTACCTTGAGACAGAAGGAGATAGTTGTGTATTCTCAGCCTTTATTATCTGTTTTAGTAGCCCGGATTAAAAAACAGATTGCTAGCAGTGACCATGTGGACTCAAGTACTATTTCTGCAGTTTACGGATGAGGTCATCATCAGGGGCATCAGAGGGGCATTGATCCCTTGCGCGATTCCAGGGGCCCAGTACTTGACACTTAAATATGTAAAATTATAAGTACAATTGGGCTGAGGAACCTGAGGTGACATTTTCTCAGGGGTCCTCGAGTTTCTAGACCCCTCGTAGTCCAACACCCAAGTGCTTGACAGATCCTCAAGCAAGATCACATTCTCCTCCCAAACTTCATTATTCACTTGAGTGTATTTTGGTTAAACCAGCTCATTTTTTCCATGAACCAGTGCTAAATATGGAGGATGTGTGGGACATTTTCGGTAAGAACACACAGAGTAGCAGATCTGTGTGCTCATGCAGCAGGGAGGCAGGCACCTTCAGGACTGGCTTTCGGAGGAATCACCAGCGTAGCGGTAGCCTGGACATCAAAATGAGCACAGATCCTAAACTCATACATAGGATTCCCCTGGCAGAGAGATGGTTCTGTGTAGCTTTAAGTCCAAAATTTACAGTGAGCCACATGTATAACCACTGATAAAGCACATGCCACGAGACCGAGCCCTAGCCTCATCAGACAGGCATTGAAGTGGCGTGACCCAGCATGCAGCCATAATCACAGTTCGGCCGTCCAATCACACAAGACCTGTCAGCTGTCAATCATCCCCCCACACCAGCCAATCGGGGTTCAGGCCTCGGCCGCAGCCTCGACAGCAAAAATCCTGCCTTACAAAGTCTACTTGAGTCAGAGAGGGAAAAAAATCCCTCCCATGTCTCGGGATTCTCAGACAGTGATGAGAAAGCGATGCTCTCACTGCAGCTGGGATCTGACAAGGCGGGGTTAATGCGAAAGGTGACGGCGAGAAGGAACTGCCAGGGCTTCTGGTACGCGAGGTGAGAGGCATTTCTGCCAGGCCGCGAGCCCTCTCCCTCAGCCTCAGTCTACTCCCGTCCTTCTGTCCTGTGGGAACATACGGAATTGATGATTGAAGTTCTTTGGGGAGAGACTCTGTTACGTTTACCCGCAACCCGTAAACAAGAGAGCTCCAAGTAAGAGTCTGGAGACGGACAGGACGACAGGGGGTCGAGCGCAAAAACCCGGAGGCTGGACGTATCGGAGACATCCGGAGGCGCGGCCTCTGTGAGGTTATGACTGTAGACACGCTGGCCCGAGACAAACCGCTACGGACCAAGGCGAGTACAGAATCGAAGCCAGCAAAGGCGGCACTGCACCCACTTAGCGCCGAGCAGAGGGACGCCACCACTGCGCACATCTTTAACTCATTTCACACTGGTTACATGCTGCAGACCCGACGCCGCTGGAGGCCAGAGTTAAGTCCCCCTTAAACAAAAGCAGATGATGAACACAGGGGCAACGTGCCAGAGGCCGCGGAGTCTCAACTGGGCGAACCCAGTCTCTCCACCCCCCCTCCACCCGAACGGAACCACGTCACCCAGACGAGCGCCTGTCAGTCCCACGTTCCTGCCCCCCGGACACCTTCTCTCCTCTCCGTCTCTGTGCGGTGATGACACAGAGTTGGGCGTACTCCGCCAGCGGTGCCAGCTGTAACCCGCCCATTCACCCCGGCGTCTGAGAGTCTAATCTACCCTGTTAATCAAACTGAAGTCTACCTATCTCATAAGAGAAACCTGGAATGGCATGGCAGATATTATGTACTTTTAACAGTCGGTTTATGTTCTCATTTGTACAGAAAGGCGACCTTCTGAGATGGTGGCACTTTCTGCAGGAAAACAAACAGCCCACTATGGTGAACAGAAAAATGAGAAGCAGGGCATTCCTCAAAGTGTTTCCCACTCAAACAGCCAAACAGACAACAGAACAGACAGTCGAGTAACACTTGAGTAATGCTTTCAGTAATGGTTGAGTAATCCGTTTGGAGGATTTCCATGAAAACCGGCTGACGTGAACTTAGCGCTGCTCTGCCTTTGTCCAGGTCGGGCTTAAGAGACACTGGGGGCCCTTTTGTGGTGCTGGACAGAGAACCAAGCCTCCAGACTTTGATTCTTCCCACTGGGTGATGTCGGGGGGGGGGGGGGGGGGGG